GTAGGCTGCCAACTAATTATTGCAGATGTACACACGTCAAGTACAGTCAAACTAATAAACAATAAAACAATTCAAAATATACAACTAAAAAAAGCTTACATCCTGGATGTATATGTTCAAATGACGAGCTCTTACATTTTCACCGGCACTCTGTGATTACCTATTTTTTTAATGTTTAGTCTTTGCTACCCCCTAGCGGTGAAGGTCTGACATGACACCTTCAGGGTCCTGGCCACCTTGGATCTGTTTTGCTGCACAAGTTAAGAGCTTCTGATCTTGATTGTTATAACTTATGTATATCTCATTCTTAGTATTGAGTTATTTAGACATTGATTTTGTAAAACGACTACATCCATTAGGACTCTATTCATATTCAAGAACATTAAAGGGAATGAAATATAAATTAATATCAATAATATAAATATGACATAACTTATTTATATCTATCAGTCGTGCGATTAATGAGCGGTATATGTGTGTACTATATTACACCACCATGTGTTTTGACTGCATTGGGTAACCATAGCAACCCTGGCGTGTGGACCGACCCCTCGCCAGCACAATCCCACTGGGTTATGTATTAACCCTGAGGGGGCCCATGTTTAGGTTGACCTATATCTTTATACTGTGTCATCATGTCTGTCACAATCCTCTCTGCTGTCGCCTGTCTGTGTTGGAGAGACAGGAATATGACAGAACCAAGTTTCTTCCTAAATAATTAAACACCTCAACACTGAATATCCTTGGGGTGAAGGCTGTCAACGCTCCCCACTAGTACTTCATGGTGACCTGGTTCAGGAACCTCTCAGGGCTTTTAAAGTGCTGCATTTAAACACAACAACATCTCTACAACTTCTCCTCACATAATTGTGTCTTTTTACCTGCCAGAGTGGACAAATCTACCGGCCAAGCGATTGTTTTAATTATGTCGGCTGACCCTGAATTATTTTTGATCTGCCAAATGTCAAATCTATCAGCCAACGGCTCGTGGGCCGGTGTCCAATTTGGACCGTGATCATGCGTTATGTGTTTTAGATCTCCATGGGAGACACAGAACACCGACCTCTGCGATGAGGTCTCCGTTTTCGGCGTGGACCTGAGCGATGGCGCCGATCTCCTTGCACTGGGAGAAGACGGAGTACAGCTCCTCGTCGCACAGCATGAACACGCCCTTGTAGGCCATGAACATCTTGAAGGAGTTGACGCCCTTCTCCGTGGCCAGCGTCGCCATTTCTCTTTTGACCTGCGAGTGGCGATATAAATAAATAGTCACACATTTTTGTATTGAGTGTTTCCCTTTTTTTTTAAATCACTTTAATGCCTTTATAACCAGGAAAAAATAATACTTATGCGATATAACCATATTACGACATCCAAAATCTGAGACGATATCTAGTCTCATCATGATATCGACATAATATCGAAAGATTGCCCTGCAGCCAAATGTCAGTTAAATGTGACCTGTGACCTGTACCTGCTCTATGAAGGTATTATTGGAGCAAAAGTCTCAAGCACCTGTAACTGCAGATTTTGTATGCGTACACTAAAGTCACAGTAAATTTGAAGTCGTAAATATTTATTTAGCATGTGTACTCTAAAGTCACAAATGTGTAACAGTACATTTGAAGTCGTAAATATTTGTTCTACCATTGCAAACACAAAATAGGGTCTACGAGTTCACAAGTCTGTGTTACAGGTGCACAAATCCTCTCCTGTGCATCACAACTTCAAAGAGTCATGCACTTGACACTTTTGCTACAATCATTGCAGCGCAGTTGGTGCAAAACACATTCGCACACCCGTGTTTCATAATCTGACAACATGCCCAAAATGTGTGCATTCGTAAACCCAAATGTGAACTAATGCATCAGAAGTTGCACATCTGTGAACAATTTCCTCACAAATAAAATGATATAGAGCGCTATGTTGATTCAGCATTTTAATGAGCGAGCACAAGTCCGTCGTTACAACTGCTCGAATCTGCTCCTGCAAGTCTCAGCTGTGGGTTTTTTGCAGGTAGTTTTGCACCACGTCTAGGTGGTACATTTGGTGCAAAAGTGATTCGTATCCGCAGCAGAGCGTCTGTGGGCGGGACCAAATAGTTCCGCCCATAATTTCATAATCCAATGAAAGTCGCCGGCAGGGGGTGCATTTTTCAAATGGATAAAGATCGCAGCATACTCTTTGCGTGGGATACTTTCTGGAGAAGTGAAGAGGGCATCCAGCTGGACGGAGGTGGGTATCCTACATAATGTTCAATGAATTAACTTAGTTCAAGTGAATTCCCCCCAAAGTATTGCATTAACATGCCGCAAATGTCCTTCAATGTATTTTAATGGTCGCCATAACAAAAGTTCAGAAATGTCTTGGGGGTCCATTTGAAAAATACCGTCATACTGCTCGCTCCACCATGTGACCTGTGACCTGTACCTGCTCGCTCCACCATGTGACCTGTGACCTGTACCTGCTCGCTCCACCATGTGACCTGTGACCTGTACCTGCTCGCTCCACCATGTGACGGCGACGTGCAGAGAGTAGTCGCAGCAGACCTTGGGGTCGGCCATCCTCCGCCAGCACTCGTACGCCTCCAGCAGAGACGAGCCCTTCTGGGGGATCACGAAGTCCATGATCATCGTGGTCCCTCCGGCCAGGGCAGCCTTGCACGCGCACGCACGCACACACACACACACACACACACAAAGCATTCACTTGCTTTTCTTCCAAAATTAAGTCAAGCCCTTTTATTGAGGCTCAATCCATCCTCCATTGTAGGGGGCTGATAGTTTGAATTTAAAGTGTCTGGATAAATAAGACATAATAACCCCATCAAATCGTCAACATCCTGGATGTCCCCCTTCCCCCCAGTGGGTAGCCTACATGATAAACCATTGCACATGTAATGAATTGTCGGGGCTGAGCCCCCCCAGGTAAAACCCTAGAGTCGCCCCTGGAAACGCAGCCTGCAGCCTGCAGCCCGCAGCCTGCAGCCCGGTCCGGTCCGGTCCAGTTAAGTCCCCTTACGGTCCAGGCTCAGTGGCCCACACCGTCAGTCTGTCACCTTGGTACCGATGTAGAAGTCATCCACCGCCTTGGTGCCCATGAACGCCAGCTCCATGTGTGTGTGCGTGTCGATGCCGCCCGGCATCACCAGCTGACCCGTCGCGTCGATCACCGTGACCCCGGCCGGGACTTTCAGGTTGCATCCGACGTCCGCTATTTTTCCATTTTCAATGTAGACGTCGCTGACGAAAGAGACGTCTTCGTTCACCACTTTTCCTCCTTTAATCAGGATCTTTGTTTGGCCGTCCATCTTTGCCGATAAGTCAAACTTCGGGAGTGAAGTTTCCCAGCCGCGACCGACAGGCTGGTCCTAATTCTGCAGGTCTGGTGGGTGCGTAAAAAAGGAGCAGGCGGGAAACCAGGCGTTGAGTTGCGTAACATTTTCACTTCCCTAAAGAGGTGGATCACTAAAGAGAGGAGGAGATTGTCCTCCCACATACCATTGCGCATGCAGTAATGTGTTTTTGGTTCAGGATCAACTGGACTGGGGAGTCCCAGCTGTAGGCATTAACCCAGAGCCCTGGTCTGGAGGCCTCTTCAGTCTGCAACATCACTCACATCTGTCCTGATATCATTAGACCTTATCTATGTTTCACCCCGACAGGCCCCGACTGACACACATGCATTGCATAATTTACCCACTTTTGTATTGTTTTTATTTATTTATTATTTTTTCATTTTATTTATGTATGTATGCATTCATGGATTTATGGATTTATTTCTCAAAGGCGGGTCATTTCTTTCACTACAAATATTACTAACGGTGTCAACTAATACGAACTAGTACATTCTCAAACTAAACCAAATACACATAGAATCTCTATATAAACAATTATTTAGCTTTAAATAATCCTACAACAGTGCATGAATAACAAGAAGTTTGACCAAGTTTGAATGGATGACTTATGTGTTGCGCACATTGGTGGCTCAGCGCCGCCTTCTGGTGTACGTTGGGTGTAATGACACGTTGCGTCAGGCAGACATTGAAAACTGTTTGCAACGTTGTTGCAAGGCGTGTAACCCTAAACAAACCTAACCCTAACCTAACCCTATTACAAAACCCTAACCTAACCCTATTATAAAACCCTAACTTAACCCTAATATAAAACGCTAACCTAACCCTAATAATATGGGTTTCCTATTAGGGTTAGGGTTTCATATTAGGGTTGGGGTTAGGGTTTCATATTAGGGTTTCATATTAGGGTTAGGGTTTCATATTAGGGTTGGGGTTTCATATTAGTGTTAGGTTTTCATATTAAGGTTAGGGTTTCATATTAGGGTTAGGTTTTCATATTAGGGTTAGGGTTTCATATTAGGGTTAGGGTTTCACATTAGGGTTGGGGTTAGGGTTTCATATTAGGGTTAGGTTTTCATATTAAGGTTAGGGTTTCACATTAGGGTTGGGGTTAGGGTTTCATATTAGGGTTAGGTTTTCATATTAAGGTTAGGGTTTCACATTAGGGTTGGGGTTAGGGTTTCATATTAGGGTTAGGTTTTCATATTAGGGTTAGGGGTAATAACCAAGAGCCCTTCTTGAATAGCTTTTGTTCTGAAGGTTGTAGAGACTTGTTAGTTGGCCCATTTCCGTTCCAACGGAACCAAACACAATGTTTCTACGTTAACTGGAAGTACCAGAACCCACTTCCGTACCCTACACGCGGCTGTATCTCCGGAACGGACGGTCGCAGTGACTCAGGACCAAGACTGCCGTGTTCAGCGTCCCCAAAACCCATCAGGACATCGGTTCTTTCAGACCTTCTGAAAAAAAGTTATTAAAGAAAAACTAACTACCACTTACCCTAATGTTAAAGGGTGTCATGTTAGGGTTTCATATTAGGGTTAGGATTTCAAATTAGGATTAGGATCAACTTTATCAATCCCACGTTGGGGAAATTCTTTTTACCCTAATATGAAACACCTAATATGAAAGCTACTGGCAGTAGCTCAGTCCATAGAGACTTGGCTTGGGAACCAGAGGGCTGCTGGTTCAAGTCCAGCACGCACCACAGTGCGGAGCGTGGACTGGTGGCTGGACAAGTGCCAGTTCACCTCCTGGGCGCACCATTTTAGGGTTTCATATTAGGGTTAGGCTAATACGTTAGGGTTAGCCTAACCCTAACCCTAATATGAAACGGCACCAAATATGAAAGCTATGGCAGTAGCTCAGTCCATAGAGACTTGGTTTAACCGGAGGGCTGCTG